TCGGTAGAAAATAGAATTCGTCTAATATTTACTTTGTTTATTTGGTTGTTCAAAAAAAAAAAAAAAAAAAACCAGGGGCCCATGCAGATTTCTGAATACATCACAGACTACTAGCACCATGACCGAGAAGATCACCATTACGTGAGATCCTTGACATCGTGCGGCTGCAACAAAGGGGCAACATAGTGCGTTGGCCAGCGACATTGGCGCGGTTATTAGGAATCACTGCCCCCTCCTGTGGGAGTCATGGAATGTTGTCCCACCTAAAGGCAAGGTTGTTCTTCATGAATTATCGATAAGTATTTTCAACCTCAAATACTAAATTTTTATTAAAGTATACAAATATTATAAATTTTAACTATTGTATATTTGTTGAGTTTTGCAGCATCACTATGAGCTCACGAACCTTGATGCCAATCAAAACCAGTACATCAACGACCTTTGCGCCAGTAGGTTCACTCTATAAGAGCGACCTCCACAAGCATTATGAGAAGTATGACGGTCAGGAGGCTGCTCTAGCAGTTGGGTGCCCTATACAGTTGGTGGACCGCCGGGATGAATGGTAGTGGCTCTGTGGCCATTTTCAAGACAAGAAATACCTCGTAAGTATAAAATATATTTCAATAATATTTAATCAAAACTTTTATATTTTTGAAAAATATTTTAATTTTTTTCATTAATTTTTATAAATATCTAACCTAATACGTTTTTTTAATTTAGCAAAAAAAAAAAAAAAAAAAAAGTGAAGGCAAACTCGATCAATCGATTGAAGAAGAAACTTCTTCACCGCTCTGGCACATGACGATTCTCTTATAGGTTGGAGGAGCGATGTAAGGTAACTATATATTTATTTTAAGTTTTGATTCTTTTTACTCTCTAATACACAATTGGTAATCTATGTGTTAATATTTTTTTTTATTCAGGGGGGTCAAAGTTTTCTAAGATTGACATGTTCAAAGAGGTGTACGTTCGGTCCGGGGATGAGCTGACGAAGCAGCTTCATGCATGTTATTTCAATTTTTTAATATTCAATTAGTATTAATATTAATTACATGTATATTAAAATTACTTTGTTTGTTCTCATGTTTCTAGTCCACCATGGTGGAGAAGGGCAAGACCATTCTGGAGGAGGTGGCTTCCCAGCTTCTCCCATAGACCCTGACTGAGGAGGTGTTCCCTCTGAGGATGCGGGTTTATAGATCATGACAGACACAATCGATTAGACCCTCGGTCGTAGGCCGGGGAATGTTCACTGAGGGCTTGGGAAAGTCCGCCTTCCGCACCCGTCTGCCTCATCCTTAAGGCAGAGAACAGAAGAGGTCGAATCGCTGACATCTAAAGTGGTGGACCTAAAGGACCAGACTGCCACCCAGCAGTTTCAGCTTGCGGCCCAAAACTATTTGATGAACCATATTCATCTCATCCTTCAAATCTCTGGCATTTGGTTCCCCGACATTGAACTACCTCCAGCAACGACCTCCTAGCACCCACCCCCACCCCCCCGCCGCCACCGTAGCAGCTATAACCTCCCAAGCCTCCGTCGCAGCAGTTACGACCTCCCAAACCCCCAACATAGCAGTAACACCACCAGCAAGCGATTGTGACGTGGATGACTACATATTCTAGATTTTTTAATTGTTTTCAAATTTTAAAATATTTCTTTCCGTTGTATGTATACTTTCAATAATTTTTTAATTCAATATTCTTCTTTACATTTTTTATTTTTAATTTCATTAAATTAACTTATACATAAAACAATATTATCAACATTTAAAAGGAAAAAATAAAAAATAAAAAAAAAAATTTTAAATTAATTTTAAAATCTTACTGCAATGGCCTTATGTTCGTCGCGCAAGGGTTTGGGGGTTGAACCCCAGTTTTGTCGCTCGGAGTATCACGCGCAACGAACACTCATTCGTTGCTCTTCATTTCGCGCAACATTCATTTTGCATGACAAAGCACTTTTCTCCGTCACGTAATGTCTGACGTCACGAGCTTTGGGCGACATCCTCTTCGTTGCCCAATGTTTTCGGCGACCGTATTTGCCTTTGCGTGACGGCTGTCCCATCGTCGCCAAGCAGTTATGCTTAGTTTGTTTATGATGGCTAGGGTTCTTAAGGTTTCTCATCAATATGTGTTTTTTCTTTTGGAAAATTGATAGGATGTGTAGAAGGATAAAGTCTTTTTCAAAAAATATAGAAAGACATTTTTTAGTTGCCATTAACTTATCCATAATAAGTTACAACAAATTTTAGTATTGAACTCCCTATGTTGTGATCATATCTGTGTGAACCAAACATGAGATGTCCTCCAACCGAGCGGAGATTTGGTGCCACAAGAGAACTGGTCATGTTCCTCAATAGGTGTTGAATGAAAATGTTTATTGTTCGAGAGCATGGTACTTCAAGTAAACATGTCTTGAATGGCTATATAACACGATTACCTAAAGTTTAACATGATTATTTACAAAGTTCGAATTGAGTTACACAGAGCAATTTTCACACTCGCAATTTAACATTTGATACTTTTATTATGAACATCAAAACATTGTAAACTATTCAATTCGATGTCTCAAAACCCACTTTGAGCAGTAGTCCTTCAATTTTAACCCAATTGTAGCAATGGTCATTCCAGCATGACTCGTTTTGACGGAATTTTGATAGAGTTGAAAAAAATGACCATAGCTGCATGTTTTGATGAGTTAATGACCAATGATCATAAAATTTTAGTTGATTGATCATTGCTCTAATTAGGTTAAAATTAAAGGGCTATTGCTATAATTTTCTCAATACAAAGTATAGTGCATTGCAATAATCATATAGTCCACTACTTTGGTCAAGTTCATTTTCTCAACTGTCATGATATAGTTTGACGAATAAATAATCAAGGAACAATTTCCTATATATACAATCAAATTTAAGAGTGGTTGCTGTACCCATGAGTACTACCAGTCCCCCAAAATATGTAACAATTTCATCGAAAATAAATGCTCTGATCTAATATTCCAACCTGATGAAAGAAAGAGGTTGGCACTTTTAATTTGTGGCAGGTAAATTAAATGGAAGATATTAGATTTGGTAAGTTCATTAACTTGTAGTGCATGGTAGGGGTTTTGTCTTCTCCTTGTGGAGAGTAACAATAACGATGGACTGATATCCCACATACATCAATTTGCATCGAGAGATATCATCGTAATGGGTCGTTCCGAGTTCTGAATGCCAATGAAAACGTCAAACGCTTTACGACGAGCCATAGAGTCACTCAGCCACAGCCCACGCCCTTCCATTCTTTCCCTCGATCTTCTTGTATATATGTGTTAAATATAATCTCATTTGTTTGTTTCCATCGCTAGATAGCTAGCTTGATTCCCATTAATCGTTACGGGTACGTTTGAGATTGCTTTCATAAACGTCAAAATCCGGTTTATGATACAAATTTTTTATTAAGTATTATGGGTTATCAAAGTGTTTTTTCAAGAAGCGCTTAGGGTCTTTTTCGAAAAAAGGAGCACTTAGGGTTTGTGTTGTAATTGTTTCTTGAAATGGTAAAAGTGCTTTTTGACAATAAAAAACGTTTATGATTACATTGACAAAAAAAATTAGGGTTTGTGTGAAACTGCTTAATTTTGAAATGTATAAAAGAATTTTCTAACAACTAAAATCGTTTTTGATCACGTTTGAGAGAAGAACTTAAAGCATGCTTGAGACTGCTTCTGAAAGGCTAAAAGTTTTTTTTTTGACCATCGAAAGTGCTTATGACAATGTTTGACAAAGAACTTGAAAGCGTTTCTAAAAAGCATTTGAAGATGCACTTTCAAGTCATTTTCTAGAAAGCATTTGCGATTCTTATAAAAAGATTTCGATTCTAAAGCCTTATGAGCATAAGTGCTTTCTAAATAATCAATCTCAAACGAGCCTTATTAGTATGGAGATGTGATTATAGTTTTCCTCAACATGCTTCGAAGTATATTAGTAGCACTTGTAGCATAAGCATTGATGAACAAAAAATCCTTCCTACGGAAGCAGTCAACGACTAGAGAAAGCCCATTGTCCCATGAGTGGTATAAAATACCAATTTCAAAATGCGCTTATAAGCATAAGTACTTCTAATATAAAATTTTCAATTTTTTTAAGAGTATTACTAAGTAGATTAAATTTGTAAATTAAATTTATTAATCAAATGATGTGTAATTAATAGAAACAAGCACATTAATCAATATTTACGTAATAATCCAATGATCTACTTTCATGTTATTTAATTTACAAGATTTTGTCAATAGATTTAGTCTCTATAACATTACCTTTTTATTTTAACATGCTTCAAAGAAAAACATTTATGAGCATTGTATTTCTTGCACAAGTAGTTCCAAACCAACTCTAATTATTAAAGGGTAATACTGGGGAGACTAAAATTTTAAACCAAATTTGCAAACCAAATTATGTGTTACCAATAAGAAATAAGCATGTTAATCAATACTTAAAGTATAATTCAATTATCAACATCCACATCATTTAGTTTACATAATTTGGTTTGCAAAATTTGGTCACCGTAGTATTATCCATTATTTAATCCATCAGACACAAATTAGATAGTTAAAACAAAATCAAAAGAAGGGTTTAATTAAGGGAACTTTAATGAAAAACTCTCGGTATTATTTATTTTAACGAAAAACCACATTTTTACACTAAAAATTTAATCCTGGTAGGCTGGTACTATTTACTTTACTCTTTATTTTGTCATTTTTTTTAAAACTCAAAGTTTTCAAACTCTTTTCATTAGTTTTCCTTTTAATTAATGGATAATGTTAAGGAGACTAAATTTCTAAATCAAATTTGTAGCCAAATATTATAATTATTGATGATTTAATTATTACTTAAGTATTGATCAACATGCTACACGTCATTTGGTTGGAAATTTAATTTAATAATTTAGCTCGCCTAGCATTACCCATAATTAAATTCATCCATCCACAAACAGACGTTTAGCTAATTGCCATTAATCCCATTCTCCCAGCACGAGCAACCCTCTCGCCACCCTCTCCCTCCCCTTTTTCTTCTCGGTTCTGAAAAAATCCCAGATGCATCCAAGCGACATAGCTACGGCGTACTTACATTATTTAAACTAGCTTACCGCTTGGGACCTCGTGTTTTGCTTTGAAATACTTCGAGCTAGAGAGAGAAAGACACACTCTGAGAGATTTAGGAGAGAGAAGAAGAAAGAATCCCAAAGCCGCTGTCCCAATCTTTACACCGTTATCTGTTTGGGACATTGCAATCCCCCTCCTTCCTCCCATTGCCAAGATCCCATTTTTATTACCAATCCAATCCATGAAGAAACCTAAACATCAAACACCTTCTCCTCCCTTTGTCCCAGTACTATTTAGTCCCGTTAGGTCGTCCTCCAGGATCTCCAGTAATCTTCCTAATGGCTGCTTGTGCTCTCCTCGGTGACAATGTCGGCGACCACATCAGCGGCAATGGCAGCAATAACAACAACATCAGTAGCCACGGCGGCGGTGGAGGAAGCCCTTCTTGTCCTATGAACAACAGCACTACCAATTCCAACAGCAGCAGCGTCGAGCAGCAGCCAACCAAGATGGTGAGAAAGCGCATGGCGTCCGAGATCGAAGTCCAAACCACCCCGACAAGCAGAACCGCCGGTTCGGACTATTTCCGGCTCTCCCGCCGCGGGGTTATTAATTATAGTCCGCCAGTCCAGCCGGTATATCCAAACCCAAATCAAAATCCAAACCCCAGTAAAGTGAATAGTAGTATGTTTTATCCCAACTACTCCACTATGCTGTTACCCGTACCATCTTCCACAAATTTGACCGCTTTGACGTCAGCTGGTGGGGCTTTATTGTCACCTGCTTCTCCTTCTCCTTCCCCTTCTCCTTCTCCTTCTTCCGCTGCAGCAGCTGGCAGCTGGGGTCCTATCGATCCATTGTCGTTTCATCGCCCTCTTTCGATTCAGCCGACAACGACGTCCACCCAGATCACTACCACTCCGGCCGTTTGTGGGTTTTCTGGTCTGCCCTTGTTCCCACCAGAAAAGACTCCTCCTTCGAATCCTACTACCGCTGCTACTACTATTTCCGCCATGGAAGACGGCTCCTCTGCCGCCACGGCATGGATAGACGGGATCATAAAGGACCTCATCCACAGCTCCACCAACGTCTCCATCCCCCAGCTCATTCACAATGTTAGGGAGATTATCTTCCCTTGCAACCCCAGCCTCGCGGCGCTCCTCGAGTACAGACTCCGGTCCATATCCGAGCCGCCGCCTCCTCTGCCTCTTCCAGTCCCGAGCTTTAATCCGACCCCAATCCCGGACATGAGGAGGAGACAACAAGGTGGTCCGGGCCCTGGGGCTCTTAAGATCAATCTGGACTCTGGTGCCCTACATGACGTCGCAATCTTCAACACATCAACGGCGGATAACAATGACTTGTACTTGCAGTCGTGGTCTGGAGGTGGCGGAGGTGGCGGAGGGGTTGGGCTGTCCCTACCCCAACCCAACCCTACTCCTGTCCCTATGACCTGCAACCAAACAAACCCACATCACCAAAGCCCTTCCTTTAATCAGACAATCCATCAAACACAAGACAAACAAATAGAAAACTCATCATCCTCTTCCCCTGCGGCGGAGTCCACCACCCCAACCGCTGCACCCGCACCCACAACCGCTACCGCCACAGCCCCGCCGCAACCAACAACCTCAGCAGTCTCCCTACTCAGAGAGAAAAAAGAAGAGATGCGGCAGCAAAAGCGAGACGAGGAAGGCCTACACCTCCTCACCCTCCTCCTCCAATGCGCGGAGGCGGTCTCCGCAGACAACTACGACGAAGCCACCAAAATGCTCCTCGAAATTTCCGAGCTCTCCACCCCATTCGGCACCTCCGCCCAGCGCGTCGCGGCCTACTTCTCCGAAGCCATGTCAGCCCGCCTCGTCAGCTCCTGCCTCGGCATCTACGCCTCCCTCCCTCACTCCTCCGTCCCCATCACCTACACCCAAAAAATGGTCTCCGCCTTCCAAGTCTTCAACGGCATCAGCCCCTTCGTCAAGTTTTCCCACTTCACCGCCAATCAGGCGATCCAGGAGGCGTTCGAGGGGGAGGACAGGGTCCACATCGTCGATCTCGACATTATGCAGGGCCTCCAATGGCCCGGGCTGTTCCACATCCTGGCCTCCAGACCCGGTGGTCCTCCATACGTCAGGCTCACCGGGCTCGGGACCTCAATGGAGGCCTTGGAGGCCACGGGGAAGCGGTTGTCCGATTTCGCAGACAAGCTAGGGCTTCCGTTCGAGTTCTTCCCCGTGGCGGAGAAAGTTGGGAACTTGGACCCGGAGAGGCTGAATATCAGCAAGAGAGAGGCTGTGGCGGTGCACTGGCTGCAGCATTCGCTTTACGATATCACGGGTTCCGATTCCAACACGCTCTGGCTTTTGCAGAGGTAACGTCTCTTCAATCCAGTCCAATCCAATCCGATTGATTTCTTGCCTTTCCACTTTTCTGGTTAAATATATGATGAAAATTCGAACTGGGTTTCTTTTGGGTTGCACTTTTTGGTGTCTTTGATCGATGTTGGTGATCAAAGTATCCAACTTTAATAAGCACTAGCTAGCGCTGACTAATTGTTAAACAAATAATGTTATTGGGTTTAGATCAATTGCAACTTTCATGCGCTTTTCAAATCTAGTAACTGCAAAAAGCTGCACCTTCATAGTGGGAAAGAAGCAAAAATTAAAGATTTGATATTTTTTCCTTTTAACAAAGTGATATTTTGAGATTCTAAACTTCCATTTTCTCTGCACTGTTCGGTTTATTTCTGGTTTTTAGATTGAAAAAGTGGAAGGAGATTTAGAAAGAATTAAACAAAAGCGTGCTTCAAGAGAAAATGAGCGTTCGAAAATAATTATTGTATTCTAATATGTGTACGAGATTCAAACTTGGAAATTGAAAAACTCAAAAAAGACTTCAGAAGTAGAATTAAACAAGAGTGTGCATCGTCTTCGGAAATAATTTCCACATTTTAATTCATTGGTAAGATTCAAACTTAGGTACAAGAGTCAGACTAATGTCTCATGGCTGCATATTTTATTAGATATTTCAGCACATGTTTATATATGAATTGTTTTTTTATTTTTCTGCTACTATTGATTCAGATTGGCGCCAAAAGTGGTAACGGTGGTGGAGCAAGACCTGAGCCACGCGGGCTCGTTCTTGGGCCGGTTTGTGGAGGCCATACACTACTACTCTGCCCTGTTTGATTCCTTGGGAGCGAGCTACAGCGAAGAGAGCGAGGAGAGGCACGTGGTGGAGCAGCAGCTGCTCTCTAGAGAGATTCGTAACGTTTTAGCAGTGGGCGGGCCGTCGAGGAGCGGAGAGGTGAAGTTCCACAATTGGAGGGAGAAGTTTCAGCAGAGCGGGTTTCGGGGCATTTCCCTGGCGGGAAATGCGGCAACTCAGGCCACCTTGCTGCTCGGGATGTTCCCTTCCGACGGGTACACTCTGGTGGAGGACAATGGGACTCTCAAGCTTGGGTGGAAGGATCTCTGCTTGCTCACCGCTTCCGCATGGCGGCCGCCGTTTCATGCCGCCGCCAATCCGAACCTTCACTACTGAGATGCTTTTGTCCATGTATGTATGCATATGATGTTTGGTGAGGGTGCAGGGTTCTAGGCGGTTGATGAGTATGAATGTATTATCTTGTTATGCTTAATTACCATCATTACCCCACTTTAATCTTTTTTTAATTGAAATCGATTTTGTGTTTTGGAAGAATCTTGGGTTTTAGGGTCTATAGCCTTCGGGCCTTACTCGGGGTACTTTGGGATTTGGGTAGGGAGAGACTAGGCCTTCTACCTTCATGCGACGTTACTAAGTCTGAAAATTCTCTCCCCCGTACATTTTTTGCTGTCAGTGAGCGGTTGAGATTTAACCAAGGGAGCTGTGGTTAAATCTCAACCTTTCATTGTTGCCGTCAGGCTGTTGCCAAAACCCTATACATTGTTGCCTTGCGTTTTAGTCTAGTCGATCTCAGTCCTGGTGTGGCTTCATGATCCTCTAGGACTAACTCATGCTTCTTAAGTTGTCAAAACGCATATGCTACTATCTTACCACATTTTATTAACACGCAACCCAAACCCTATCATGGGACATCATTAAAAATGCAAAATTTCGAGTAGTATCATTCTCATTTTTAACGTATATTTCATTTACTAAACACACAAAGGTTGAAATAAATAAGCGAACCCTGTCGAAGGTGTAACTAAACATGCTAGACCTGAGATCTGGAGAGGAAGATGAAGACGACAACACACAATTTTGATAATGATTAAATTGATTTGTTCAGAGAACAACAAAATACAATTTATACAGGAATTAGTCCCCTGATATCACCAAAAAAAAAAAAAATTGAAAACAATTAAATTAAATAAAAATACAATATGGTAATTGAATCACATTGGACAAACAAATAATAGCTACCACCCTTTCCTTTTGCACAGCTTTCTTCTTAAGCATACAACTTCCCCTTCAAATCACTTCCACCGGAACTGTCCGTCGGATCACCTTTCGTTCTCCTACTGCGGTAACCTCAGAAGCTTCAGCTGCCATACCGGGAGCTTCGTCCTTCTGCTATTTCCAGAAAGAAAAATAAAATTTTATGAGTCCTTTATTTACCAAAAGAATTAACTTGATGTGTGTGAAACTCGGGGCAGGTGTCACTTCCTCGCCTTGGAAGCTTTGATAACAAAATTCTCAGCACCCAAAAAATAAGTCATCCATCGGTTAGTGCTTCTGGAGCCCCCGTGTTTCATATAACCTCTGGTAGTGAACACAGACAATCAGCTCATCATGAATTCACATTGCAGTCGCTCAAGAACTGATCTTCTCGGTTCAGAAAAATCTTCCAGTAACCCTTGTATTTTGGGATCCCTAACTCAAACCAAGGTTTCATCTTCCCGTTATAGTGCAACACTGCGGCTTTCTTTATCGGATAAACATCTATGTTATAGTCATGACCTAACCCAGAGATAGCCCATGAACCATCAAGAGGATAAATCAAGCCCCGAAAGGTAAGCAAACTTGCATGCAGAGCAGCGGCTTCATTTCCCCCCTCTTGCGTTGTCACCTGCTCATGCAAACATGTCAGAAAATGCGAATGACAATGATGGTTTTGATTGACAATAACATTTCACCAAAGACGATGAAACCCAAAGGGGTCAAGCATTCAATCCTAACTCTAAAAGTTAATGTTTTTTTCCCCTCTTTGTTAAACATTGATTTAAAAAATTGCAATGAATATAGGTATTAGGTAAATTTAAGATGTCACTGACCTCCGTTACAAACTTTTTGTAAGTTTCAGTGAGATCGAGCTTTCTCCACTTAACCAGATCAATCACATTCAATCCAGACATCCAAGCGCATGAATTTTTATCGAAACTGTTATTGCCAAGAACGCTCTTCAGGAGACTTAACTTCACTGAGCACAACTGCACAGCAGCATTAACTTTCCCTTCCATGTTGAGGCTCCATAGTGCAGACAAGTCCTGCTGGACAACAACATCATCATCCAGAACCACAACTTTCTCCAAATTCTGGAATATCTCAGGGAGAAGATAGTGCGAGTGAGAAAAAGTAGATAAGTATTCCGTTCTGGATTGGGCATCAATGCTATAGGAAACACGGAACTCCAAAGGCAGTGAAAGATATAGTTTGCGGTTGTCTAGATTAAGCTGCTCAATGTTTAACACCTCAACCGTGGCTTCCTTGTAAGTATTTCTGAAAAACCAGAGTTTCATTGCAAAGTAATTCTCTTGATCCGTGAGCACGTGAAAACCAGTTTCCCACTATCCTGAAACATAAAAAAATTCGTTAATCGGAGTCATCACAAGAAATGAAGCTAACTAGCAGCAAAATATGTACGTTAAGAAAGAATAAATACATACTTTTGCATGCATTACTGTTGAGTTGATTACAACTGAGGATGCAAGTACGTTAGTGGAGAATATGACATAGTGCTGATATGCACGATTAACGTATTTGTCAGCCAGAGAGGAGTCGGTATCGTCAAGAGAAGATCTGAAATATTCCAGAGTCAGTCTCATTGACAGGCAATGGTGGCTCTTTGGCATAGTCTGGACAGCCAGTTGGTAGAGAAAGACACTTTGTTTCATGTGGAAGTTAGCTTCATCCTCAGTCATATCATATATTTGTCTCAGTTTCTTGTCAACATTATTACAATCCACGCGGAATGTTTTGGCTTTGGCTATTGAAGCTTGCAACCTCTGTAGCTTCTTCTCAATCCTGATGAAACAATTGGCACCGTGCTTAGTTCAGTGGAGAAGCTGGAAACATTGTCAATAGCCCAAGATGAAAGAAATCTATGAAAACCAGTATAGGATTGCCCTAGAATGAGATTAAAAATATAAAACAGCAGCATAATCTTGTAAGAAAGAAGAATGAATTCTGAGAACTTGTGCATTTTCAAGGTGGATTTGACAACCAAATTCAACCAGCAGATCTTAAAACGTCAATTGTAAGTACAAACCCCTTTTTGTTGTCATTGAATGAGCGGAAAATGGGAATATAAACGAATAGTTTCCATGACTTACTGTGGGGGAAGATCAACATCTGTAGTACTTTCACTAAGAACACGCTCCACCTCCTGAATGTTTTGTCTCAACTCACGAGACAACTTGTCCTGTGATGGAAGTTTCGCGATACTAGGAAAATATGCTCGAGCCACAAATAGTTGATCCTTCAATCTCTTCACCATAGCATCCTTCATGTCTTCTCTATGTTGTTCACGCCAAAGGCAGTAGCTCCCAAACTTCAACTCGCATGATTTTCCACTTTGATCCACACCACCTTTCGCATAATCAATGATTTGAGGTGAGTTACCAGCTTTAGAGTTCTGCCACAAAGATCCAAATTAAACAGAGCAGAAGGCAATAGCTATACAAGAACAGAATCTGTTAGCATGTTAATCAGATTCCAAGGAAAAAAGATGGCTGATTCATGCATACATTTTCAATGGGAAGTGAGTGCGGACCATCATGAGGTGGAGCTGAAACTCCTGCAGTTACTGAAAACAAAATTCGAGTTAGAATCTATTACTTGGCAAGTAAAAAGGATAGACAAACCTTAGAAGGCATTGAACATTAACAGGCCTTTTGATTGTTCATTGTTGTGGATGACACTGGCTTGTTCGTTGCTGTGAACGACACTGGTTTGTTCATTGTTGTGAACCACACTGGCTTGTTCATTGTTGTGAACGGCACTGATATTTTTGGTTTCATTTTCAGCTTTATGTGAAATATTCTTTAGTATATCCTGGCACAAAACAAATAAAGGTAGAGAAATCAATCAGGTCATTGAAGACTTTGAGATGCCTGAATCACATCACTCAAATTATTGACCGTGTTTGTAGACCAAATGAATAAAATATTGCTGCAATGGTTCCTATAGGCCTTAAATGCCAAACACGAGAGTCAAAAAATTAAAGGAAAACTAATGAAAAGGACTTGAAAACTTTGAGTTTTAATGATAAGGACAAAATAAAGGGTAAAGTGAATAGTACCAGGTTTGACTTTTTCTTGTAAAAATATGATTTTTCGTTAAAGTGAACAGTACCATGGGCTTTTCGTTAAAACTCCCAAAAATTAATTCTCATATCATGGACTAGTGAATGGCTGCCTTAGCCCAAACCACAAGAACCTGGATAGGCGGGTGTTCCTAAGATAAAAATTCTGTTAATTAGGCAGCAACTATGAAAGACTGGGAAGACCCGCGAAACAAATAGAACCACAGATGGAGAAACTAGTGTGGTAAATTATAAACATATTTCTTCACTGTGAATCTTCAATTTTCTCATCTCAAAGACAGATTAAATGCCAAGACTTACAGAAAAAAATTTGTATGTGCCCATAATTAGTTTTCAGATTCTCCGAAGGTACACATATCCTACAGTTAGAAACATACAATATAGGGCCACGGATTTCCCCATCAAGTACAATTCACAAGAACCAATCAAAAGCTTATGATCTTTGGTAACTGAACAAAACAGTTGTACTTGTCCTAATTCGAAAGGAAGTGTCTATTGGTTACTATAGTGTTTATTCCTCAAGCTCCTGAACTAAAAAGTCTAAAACACATCCTGAATAACTCTTAGACGTGTTAGAATAATTCAAAGCCCACTGGCACATTAATCCAGTTATTGGATCTAGCCAACGCCTAAACATAGAGAAAGAAAAATCAAAACCTGCTAATTGCATGTGACTCGTAAATTTGTTGTTATGAATTAAAATGTAGAAGTACTCCAATGTTTCAAAGTTTATTTTCTATTATTGCTGTATTTTCCCATAGTTTTAACACTTTTTAGAGGACCACACCAACACTTAAAAGTTCTTAGATGACCCGGGTGGATGAGGAAGTTGATGAATACCGTATGTAAATTCTTTCCGTCCCCTTACACATTAATAGTTAAGATTTTCCAGAATCACAACTCTTAAATAGATAAACAAATTCCTAGCAGAATTTATCTCAGCGAGACACAATGTCTAATTTTGAAGAATTTTAACACGTAAACATTGCCCTTATCAATAAATATCATACATTTCAGTAGCATTTGTCTGGAAGCTAAGTGATGATTCATATACAAGCCTATTTCCCTAGAACTAACTAAGCATTGTATCAAATGAAAAGCAGCGGCACCATCAAAAACCTAACACCAGAGCAGTAAGCAACGAACCTTTGAAAGGGTTGGTGTGAAATTTTTCACGAAATCATCTACATGCTTCGAACCACCCCCCTGCAAGAAACCAAATAATCAGTAATTTATCTTCACCAATGTGTTTCTACCCGTGAATTAGATTTACAAAGCTGGCTAGTATAGTTTACCACTGACAGATTAGAAGCATTTATGATGATTTTTGTACCATATCCTCCAATCTGACACCGATTCGAAAATTCGAAAAAGAAAAATAAAACAGATCAACACCAAGAATGTAGGATACAGAAAACAATTCCAAATTAACAAAACAAAGTTCTACTTCTTACTGAAGGCGAATTTCGTTGTTCTGGTACATATCCTGCATATTATGAACAAATAGAACAAATCAAGACTTGAGAGAGATCCAAAACTACCATTGCAAAAGCAAAATCGGATCTGAGAGAAACAGATCTAGAGAGAGAGAGAGAGAGAGAGAGAGAGTTACCGGGAGGGTGAAAGCCATTGTGAAGGCCGAGAAGGAAGAGAAGAGGAACGAGCATGGAAAGAAAAACCAGACCCAACACTCCAATCACCAACCCCTTCCATCGCCGCTTCCCGGAATAGCTACCACCCGCAACCCCGCCCTTCATTGCTCCGCCAGCCCCTTCTAATCCGATTTCATTGCCGCGATTAAGCACCAAATCCACCACAATCAACCACAATTAACACTAATCCTTCTCCTTCTTCTTCCCTTCCTCCTCCTCCGGTTGTTGTTGCAGTGTCAATATCAAATGCGAAGTCCCACTCGCACTCGCACTCCCAAACGCCGTCGCGGTCGCCGTCGCATCAACAAGTGAAACGCGGTGTTTCCTCTGTGGCATGAATCATTATTTCTAATGATTTGATTGGTTGTTTCTGAGCTCACTGTCTCTCTCACTTGGATTCCGAATCAACGGCTGGATGGGATGGGATTCGACTGGATTGGACAGTCCGGCACGGATTGGATTTTCCTACTTTTAGCACAACAAACTGTGATCTTGTTCTTCCTTTTTTTTCTGAAAAGAAAAAGAGAAGAACAGAAGAGCTTACCGTGGTCTCGGGCTTTTTGGTGGGATTAAATTTTTTATCCCTTGCGGTTAATATTTATTTATTTTTTGTTTGTTATTTTTTTTGGGTCAGATCCAATTCTCTAACGTTTGTGAGGATATCACTCGTCACTACTCCTATTCCTTTTTATAAAGCAAAAAGTAGGAGCAATATCCCATGTGTATATATACAGACCCGTAGCGTTATTATTTTAAATTTGTGTTTCTAAATGAAAACATAGGCTATCTACAATAATGGAGGGTTAAATGTAGTGCTTAACTATGTTTTAGCCCATCAAATTTTACGACTATTTTAGGGCTAAATTTTTCTATCTCCAACTATGCAAGGCTATATTTTATTTCTTTGATATTATATTACTTTACAAACTTATGGCTTGTTTGTATGTGCTTTTAAAATGACTGAAAGCACGTTTAGAAAATATTTTTAGGTTCCAAAAGCACTTGAAGTGTTTTCTGTAAGAAACACCAGTAATGTGCTTCTTCTAAGAAGCATTTTAAATGTTTTTTCAGGATTTACTTGCATCTTTACTAAAAATTGGTTCTAAAAACATTTTCACCAAAAGTGTTTTCAGTCATTTTAAAAGCACATCCAAACGAGCTCTTAATCTATCTTTAGGCTGTATGTTGCATTAGATGATGCCAAACTTATTAGTCATTTTAAAAGCACATCCAAACAAGCTCTTAGTCTATCTTGAGGCTGCATGTTGCATTCGATGACACCAAACTTAGTCTAATTCTTTTAGCCTTATTCTCTTTAGCCCTTTGATTTGCGACTAATTTTGTCAATTTTACATCTAGTTGTAGCCTTAGCCCTTGACTGGAGATGACCTACATAGAACGAGTCCATCGCCACCGTAAAATTTTAGTCCAGTGTTATGCTTAAGTTTATCTACACATGACTCGTCAGAATGAAATGAAAATGACAATAAATTTGTTCCATACAAGTTGTTCTTGTGTATTTGGTACAGGTAAACCTGTTTTCTACCCAATAAACTATGTAGAGTACACTTATACATTTTATTTATTACATACTTTTTTTATTGTTTCAATTCTATTTATGTTCTGTAGTTAACTATGGTATTTAAATTTCAGAAATGGCACCAAAATACAAAAAATAGAGGCAGTTGCTTGCCCGATGATCTATTAATTTTCTCGATTTATTAAACTAGTCTTTGTCATTTAATTTTTTTTTGTCCATAAAACAGTACTTTTTTTTGAAAGAACATAAAACAGTCCTTTTATTCTGATAAAAATTAAATAGTGTTCCTTGATTTGGATGATGAAATAAGTCTTTATCATTACCTACTTTTTTATCAAATTTTGCCTTATATTTGAAATCTAACAATAGGGGGTAAAATTAATTTTAGAGAGAAAAAGATGGAAGGATTGCTAGTAGATAATTAAATAAATGTTAGAATTGGGTAATTAAGGTACGAAAAAATTGTTATGGCTCATTTGAGAGTGTGTTTAAAATAACGATTGAAACCGTTTGTAATGAAAATATTTTTAGGTCTCAAAGCACTTGAAGAGCTATCTTGCAGGAAACGCTTTAAGTGTTTTTCTAGGATTCACTTGCATTTTTATTAAAAATGATTTCAAAAGCCTTTTCATCAAAAAAACTTTCAACTGTTTTAAAAGCTTTCAAACAAACGCTTAATTGTTGATGTACGCTTGCTCATATTTTCATTTTTGTTTTTTGTTTTGTGAAAATGTGATTATTGAGTAACACTCACCCACTTTTGCGACCATTGAGTTTTACACCATTTATAAGCAGTTTCACCATTTATTAATTTACGTAAGTCATTTTATTGAATATTTAATCATGTGAAGCAAGTGGCTCTTTACTATAACGTGAAAAGATGTTGAGCCCTTGCATGACGACGTAAGTTCAAACTTCGTCGGTAACAAAATTTATCGTTTGATAAAAAAAACATAAAAATCAACCAATAAATATTTGTGACCACGATCAGATCCGTTTTGACAGTCGGAACATCTCTTAGATGGCTTACATAAATTTTTAAAAGCTACGTCTGCAGCGAAAATGACAGCTAAAAGTAAATTTTACAATAAATTTTGGATAATCGTAAACCCGATTACAAATCGTGAGTGTTAGCTCAAACTTTCAGTAAAAATTCAACTGTTGAGTTTTCAAACAATATTTTTCGTAGAAGAAATGTTAGAAATCACGTTTAAAGAAGTCTTGCATCAAATCCAAAAGATCTAAGACACAATGTAAAAATATTACATGCCTATTTGTCAGTTGAAATCAATAACGCTACATATTCTTTCGCTACATTTATGTGTAGAAACTAAGAATCTAGAGAGAGAGAGAGAGAGAGAGAGAATTGTAGAGAGAGAGAAAGAGTAAAATAAGACTGTGATTTCATTAACATCAAAAGATCATTACACAAGGTATTTATACATAAATATCCTATCCCAGCCATATGTGCCAGCTAAGTATAATGTACAACTAACCACTAACCATGCTAAGCTTAATAGCTAAGCAAATATCTAATCTGGTACATTGTTGCTGTGAGAAGTTGTACTCTCAACACACCCCCTCAAGCTGAAGGTAGGAGACCGAACTGAGAACTTGTGAGTAAGATTTGCAAATCTATCTGCAACTAAAGACTTGGTAAAGATATCAGCAATTTGAAAGTTGAAACAACATGAGACACACCAATATGACCAAGTAAAACTTTCTCCTGGATGTAATGATAATCAATTTCAACATGTTTTGTCCTAGCATAGAAAACAGGATTGAATGCAAGCGTAATTGCACTTTTGTTGTCACAGCATATGGCAGGAGTCTTTAACAAAGGAAAGGAGATATCCTGCAGAATTTTGCACACCCAAGTTATTTCAGCAGTAGTTTGAGCAAGAGACCTATCTTCTGCCTCGATTGACAATCTAGCTACTGTTGCTTGTTTCTTAGCACTCCAAGAGATAAGATTGGCCTAAAAACACAATAACCACTGGTGAATCTTCTGTCCACAGGAAAACCAGCCCAATCTGCATTAGACCAAGCCGTGAGGCATTGAGTGCCTGTAGTGAACCAAATACTAGAATTAATAGTGCCCTTGAGATATCTCAAAATACGCTTGACTGCCTGAAGATGAATAGTTCTTAGAGAATGCATATGTTGACAAACTTGATTGACAGCAAAGGCTAAATCAGGCCTTGTCCATGTGAGATAATGTAAAGCACTAACTGTGGACCGATAAGAAGTAGGATCAGATAAGAGAGTGCCTGAGTGATCAAGTTTTGAGGTAGACACATGTGTTGCACAAGGTTTAACTCCAAGCATGTCTTTTTCTTGAGTAAATCTAAAGCATACTTAGATTAGTGCATAAACATACCTTTGGATGACCTTTGAACTTCAATGCCTAAGAAATAATGAATATCTCCCAGATCCTTAACATGAAACATTGTTTGAAGCTTGGAGATGATGGATTGACACTTAGTGGTTGAACTTCCAGTGATGATTATATCATGAACATAGACCAAGATGAAAGTAATGAAAGTATCTATTTTGATAAAGAGACTTGTATCAGCGTAGGAGAAACTGAAACCCAAAGAGACAATAACATTGTAGAAGGCTTCATACCAAGCTTGAGGAGCTTTTTTAAGACCATAGAGTGATTTCTTAAGCTTGCAAACATGATGAGGTTTGGAAGGATCCACAAAATCAAGAGGCTAGATCATGTACACAGCTTCCTTCAAATGACCATGCAGAAAAGCATTACTTACATCCAATTGATGTACAAACCAATTATAGTTGACTGCAATAGATAGTAGAATCCTGATAGTAGTAGGTTTTGCAACAAGACTAAAAGTTTTTGAGAAATCCAAACCTTCATGTTGATGAAACCCTTTGGCAACAAGTCTTGCCTTGTACCTTTCAATGGTACCATCTGGTTTGTGTTTAACTTTGAAAACCCATTTGCAACCTACAAGGTTGTAATTGGAGTTGTGTGGAACCAAATCCCAAGTTCCAGTCAATTGCAAGGCTTGAAATTCAAATTGCATAGCTTTAATCCAGTGAGCATGCTTGGAGAAATGTAGATGGAGTAGAGGGTAACTTTGTGAGATGATCAACAGTGGATGGAAAGTGATGTTTAGTTGCAGTAAACACCTTGGGTTTATGAATGCCTGCCTTTGCTCTTGTAACCATTGGATGAGTATTGACAAGAGCTAGAGGCTGTGAAGAAAATGGTTGAGAAATAGATAAGGTAGATAAGATAGGATGAGAGGACTCTGTGTTAGGATAAGTTGTTGATGAGGAACTCGATGTCTCTAAGGGAGTTGCAGATGTAGGGGGCTTTGTAGGATACAACACAAGCAGTGGAAGAGACATAGGAAGCTTTGTAATGATTTATTTAGAAATTCACCCCCTGAATCAGATCTTATACATTGAACTTTGAGCTCAAGTAAAGTTTGAACCTTTAAGATAAAAGTCTTGAGAGTGGATAAGACATCAGACTTGAAGTATAGAGGATAGAGCCATCTATATTTAGTAAAGTCATCCATTATTATTATGTGAAACTTGTATCCAGTACATGAGGATGTGGGAGAGGGACCCCATACATCAGTGTGAAGTAATTGAATTGGCCTAGTGGATGTACAAGGTACATCGGTAAATGGTAGTCTAGAAGCTTTGCCTAAATGACAAGCTGTGCACATAGACAATTTATTAACAGAACCAATTATAGGCAGATGATTTTTATTCACCACAGAACTTAAAGTGCCACTAGAAGGATGTCCAAGGCATTGATGCCAAATCTGGAAATCAGCCTTAGCAATCATCAGAGCAGTTGGTGAGATTGCAACCCCAGAAACACCATTTGAAGCATTCCAGTAGAAGGGGTATAACCCTCTTTCACTAGGGCCTTGGAAAAGTATTTTCCTAGTTCTTAGGTCCTTGACATAGAATCCAAAAGGATCAAATGTCAAAGAACACTAATTGTCATATATAAACTTGTAAACAGAGAGCAAATTATGAGATTCTTGAGGAAGTAAAAGCACATCATTCAATCTAAAAGTAGCATTATTTGTGCGAATGAGAACATATCCAATATGAGAAATGCACAGACCTTTTGCATCACCAACAAACAGCTGATCATTGCCAGAGTATGGAATTGCAGAATTGAGTGCAGAAGGGTCAGGTGTGACATGTTGAGATGCACCAATATCAGTAAGCTAATAGCTAGGAGAGGCAGAGGCATTCATAGCAGACATTGCAGTAGGAGTTTGTGCATTCGAGTTCGAGGAAAATTGAGAGAAACAATTGCATGTAGGAGCCCAGTGACCATATTGAAGACATAACTGACATTGAACAAAACGCCCAAAGGAGTTGGATTGACCGAATGTTTAATAAGAAGGGCCAGCACCAAGAATACCACTAGAGTTGTTGTGATTCCAGTTGTTAGGTACGTTTCCCCTAAAATTACGATTCTGATTGTACCAATGTCGATTTGGAAAACGACCATGAGAATTACCACTGTTCAACTGAGCACCAAAGGTGTTAAATTGTGCCACATAAGCATGAAATGGTGTAGCGGAGGAGGATGAAGCTGTGGTTTTGCGTTTTTGGAGTAAGATCTCTTTGCTCAATAGAAGGCCATGAAGTTCATCGACCGTCACAGACTCATTGTGAGTCTCAATAGAGTCAACAAATGACTCATAGTCATCAGAAAGACCAGATAAAATGTATGAAACGAGGTCAGATTCAGAAATTGGTTCACCAACAGTAGCAAGTTTATCAGAGATATCTTTAATTGAATTAAGATAATCAGTCATGGAAGAGTCACATTTCTGAATCGTTTGGATCTTTGATCGAAGGCTATGAACATATGTGCGTGAAGCACCAGAGAACCGCCGCTCAAGAAACTGCCAAAAGGAGCGAGAGTCTTCCATTCAAATAGTCAAAGGAAGAAGATCTTTGGAAAGTGTTGAGTTAATCCAAATCATCAAAATTTGATCACGCTCACACCAGGTCTCATAGAGAGGATTGAGAACACAAGATCCAGAGGAATTGAGAACAAATTCAAGAGGGCAGAGATCTTCACCATTGATGAGGCCAAGAAGCTTGAAATGCTTTAATACAGGAATGAAGAGACAGTGCCAAGTGATGTAGTTCTGACACTTGAGCTTCGTTGGAATCATTCCAGCAACATTTGCAATGGAAATCGACCCAATTGACATGATCGAAGGATTAGAGATCTCGCTGGGAAGGAGATTCACTGGGGAATTAAGTGAAGAAAGAGAATTGGAGGAGTTCGCAGCAGTTGCCATAACCTAATTTGGTGAATTGAGGACGAAAAGAAAGAAATCCAAGATGCAGCGACCTGTGTGGGAGATAGGAAAATTCAAGAAACGCAAGAAAGTTTCAAGAAAGAGAGGGAAGCGTGATAGAATTAAAAGAACACTACAAAGTAGCACACTACAAAGTAGCACACAAATGTCCTATTGATTTTCCTTATTAACACTAAGATTTGTCAATTGTAGCATATGAAAATAAGGGTCTTTCCTGCAGAAGATTGTTTTATCTAATTACTTAAAATGTCACAAAAACTGGTTGCTGTCCTACTGACCAGCCACCGAAAAATAATTATTAGACCGACTTACACTTATCTAAAGTCTACAAAATTTTATATGAACACACTAGACACACAAAGCTACACTCACACAAATCTTTAGGAGTTTTGGAGTTGATTTTCTATTTAAATTAAATTGAACAAAAACAGGAAATAAATAGATTTTAAGTAGTTCACAAATTAAGAACAACGAGTTAGGGGAATTGCTATCCACCACCAAATAATCATGCAAACATGTTATGTTTCATTCAAATTCCTTTTATTTCCGGATGAAGATGCTCAAGTTGGCTCAATGTTAGAACTCAACCTATTACTCTTTCTTACATAATATGTTAAGAGAATGGCGTTTTCAACTTAACTTAGTCCCTAGCATGCAATCTAGAATGGCGTGTTCATAGATTTAACAAGTAGAAATCATTAAGAACGAAAAGAGTTTGAGTCATCACAAGGCATCGTAAGTACTGACATTGTTTTACTTATCTTAGAAATTGGTTCACATGTTAATCGCAATTAACAAGTACTACTCTAGAACATATGTAGGTCCTCATTCAACAAGGGCAGGCACACACATATTCATAGTGTTAGAATTCTAGATATACTTACTACGTATGCATCCATAGAAAACAAATAAAGAATTCACCAATGAGACAAGTAGTGAACCAATTTTCATCCATTCATAAAAGTAATTCAAACGAAATGTCATAACAAACTTGCAATCATATTCGGGGCTTCAAAACAGCCCCTAACTTCTAAAAATTTAGTTACACAAAGTTCTCAAATTAAACCAAAAGAAAGACATGAGTTTGAGAAGATAAAACCAAAAGAAATCGACCGAGGCATCCTCTTCTCTTCCTTCCTTCCCCAATGTTGCTTTTAAACCAATTCTTGCTGCATCATTTTCTTCTCCTTAACTCACCCACTAATAGCCATTTAGTGATGACAATAAGTGAGAGGAAATGTGGTAAAACAATTGTAACACTTTAGGTAGCCTTTATGCCAATTACTCCCTCTTAATCCTCATTTTTAATTCCATTTCCTCTGATATTTGAATAGGTGTCAGCTGACTTGTTCTTGGCTGCTAGATTTATTGGGTTTATTGCTTCCATTGCAGTTACAAACTGCTCAGCCTCTTGGTAACCTTTCAGTGTTAAAACGGGCATAACTTCTTCTAGAAAAATGATATTAGCAATCCGTGAAATGCTCCAGCAAATAGACATCCGTAGCTTTCCAAGCATATAAGGTTCATTCTCTAATTCATTTTGAACTGTTTGAAACTTGCTTCCAAAGTCAGCTGATCTGCACAGGCAGTTTTGACGAATTTGTTACTAAAAATCCTACTTGTGCTATTTTTCTTTTATTGCTTGACAAATCCCACAAAACACAAAAACAAAGTAAATAGCTCAAAAATATAAGGAACTAACTAAGAAAAGAGAAGTAAATTTGATGTAAAATATATATAAATATGAGCTTATCAAAGCAGAGGATCAAAGTCGGTTAGACAATGGTGATGATACCATGTAGAAACTGAGAATCTAGAGAGATTTCAGTTATAGAGAGAGAGAGAGAGAGAGAGAGAGAGAGAGAGAGAGAGAGAGAGTAAAATAAGATTGTGATTTCATTAACATCAACAGATCATTACACAAGGTATTTATACATAAATATCATATCTCAGCCATATGTGCCATCTAAGCATAATGTACAACTAATCACTAACCATGCTAAGCTTAATAGCTAAGCAAACATCTAATCTGATACATTGTTGCTGTGAGAGGTTGTACTCTCAACTTTATGTATATATGGATACAGAAAATTACAATTACGAAAGAAGAAAGTAATTAACACAAAAGTCCGTTGCACGCCATAATTACTACTTGGGTTCAATTTTCGCTGAAACAGCGCATCCACCGCTGTAATCAAACGAGCCGGTGCTGTCATTGAATTCCTTTTTCGGCAAGCCAACGTTGTAGGGATGTTTCGGAGCACCTTTTGATGCTGCAAACTCCGTGGCTGATGAAGATGCTGATGTTGAGTTTGTGTTCATCCCATCGTTCTGCAGAATGGTTTCGATAGCCTTCACAAGTTCACTCATCGTGGGACGATCTGCAGCTGATTCTTCGACGCATTGCATGGCTAGCTCCAAGAACCTCCCAAACCCAATAAGAGTTCCTGAGTTTCGAATGTTTCGATCTGTTAACTCCCTCAAACCGTAATGCTCCTCGTCATTCTTGTCCATCACCAATTGTACCTCACGGACAATGTATTTTCCCTTCTCGATTGGCTGCCTAGCAGTTATCAGTTCAAGCATAACGACTCCAAAGCTGTATACATCGCTCTTCTCGGTCAATTGTTGAGTCATGTAGTACTCAGGATCCATATAGCCCTGAAAGTGTAGACAGTAACTTACAATACAAGAAATGTTGAAACTGGAAAACACGATTTTCCTGCTTAGTGCTTACCATAGAAGATCACATTTTAGGTAGTTATAAATGATAACATTCGAAATGCTTAATTGTAAACTTACTAGTGTTCCTTTGACCTGAGTCGAGACATGTCCCTTTCCGCTGTCATTGACCAGCTTCGACAGGCCAAAATCTGTAACCTTCGCCGTTAAATGTTCATCTAATAGAATATTGGTGGACTTCACATCTCTGTGAATTATAGGAGGATTTGCAAGCTCATGTAGGTAAGCCAGTCCTCTTGCTGAGCCAAGAGTGATTTGGAGTCTCCTCTTCCAATTGAGATGAATACCAGATCTCCCTGCAACTCGTATTAGAACAAATCTTATCATTACATGTTAAATCAATGGTACTAAATGAAGCACATAAAACTAAAAATATGAAATAGCGAAAAGTAAAATCTAAAACTGACCTGACAAGCTTTCCCTAAGTGTTCCATTAGGCATATACTCGTAAACCAGCATCTGCTCTCCTTGTTCGAAACAGAATCCCAAAAGACCAACAACATTTTTGTGATGAACGCGAGAGAGCAACTCAATTTCAGTCGTGAACTCGACGCCTCCCTGCATTGATCCTTGCCGAGCTCTTTTGATTGCTATCACTTGTCCATCAGAAAGCATGCCCCTGTAAACCTATGGATAGCCAACCGAAAAGTACAGAAAAAAAAATATTTTAGCTTCAAGCACAATTTCATAGATGTTACTGAATGAGTTGTATATATACCTTCCCGTAGCCGCCAGATCCTATCTCATTACTGTCAGAGAAATTATTGGTGCACTTCTTAAGCTCATCATACGAAAACCATCTTGCTCCCTTTAACTGTGGTGCACCGCCACTATCATTTCCGCTTGGCACCCAAGAAGCTGGAAGATAGAGGAGAGTAGTGAATATAAGCTGAACAGTATCTAGTATTAGTGACAGAATTTCAGTCTAGAAATTATCCACAACAGGAATGATTTCTTACCGAAAGGTCTGCTTAAACCAATGGCTCTTTCCGCACGTTTCCTTTGCCTAATGGCGTAAATTCCTACTACCACGAGGCCCACAACAAGAACGAGACAACTAACTGATATCCCAACAATAACACCAGTGCTCATAAAGCTTTTATGTGTGTCTGAAACAATTCGGGTTTTTTACTGTCATTTTAATTGATCTTCTAATGCAGGGAAGGTGTATATGAACACTGTGATTTAAAATTACCTGGGAAATTATATTGAGCTGGAATAAAAACGAAGGGTCCAAACCCGTCTGGCGGCATGTAAGGCTGACTGCTCATATCAAAACCAATCCTGATAATCTCAGACCTATTAAAATATGTTCCTGTAGGTGGAAAGAGAGCCACATGTACTTTAAGATGGTCATCGTTGTCGAAGAAAGGGTTATCAAGTGACACTGAACCGGGAGTGAGGTGAAGTTTCACCCATTGTTCTAGGGATTGAAACAGAGTCACATTTGTCAATTCCCTGAAAGTGGGCGCTCGGAAATCCAGTGTTCCTTCAAAAGGATATCCACATTGACAACTCTGAGGGCTTGGCTGCTGACCCCCGGGGCATGTAATGGATGGACAATCCGTGCTAGTAGCATACGGTTTTGTATTTGATTGTGGAGGCTGACAGTACGGACTCGAGCTAGGTTCATTGCACAATGGGTTCCCAACAAGTCTGCAATATGAAAAAGTCACAACTAAGAATGATTGTCCCATGAAAATACAGAACATCATAGAAAATTAAGATCGAGGCCCGTGAACCATCTTACATTAATGTATTTTTGTACTTATAACTCTGGGTTATTCTCTGAATCTGATTGTTCTGCAGATCAACAAGCGTCAGTTGCCGACTGATGTAATCACCCATGTTAAATGTGTCGTTAAACGCGTTGTTTTTCAGTTTCCTGTCGAATCACAGAAAAGATGAATGGCCAGTTAACTGAAATTGCAGCACGTAGATGAATTATTCCGTTATTCTCCTTGTACTTACACTTGCTGCAATGACGGTATGCTGAACATCTTCTCTGGCACAGTCCCTTGAAGAGCCACATCTTCTAAAACGCTGGCATCATAACAGTAAATAATTTCAAAATGATATCACAATAAATTTTTCACTGTCCTTTTCCAAGGCTCATCAATATATACCAAGACATTTTCATGTAACCTCCACCAGACTTACATAGTGGTGAGCGATGGCAAGGTTGAGATCCAACCCGGAGCTTCTGATGGATCAAATGAGTTGTAACTAAGGTCTCTGAAGTAAAATCATTAGGATTTATCAGTACAACACAAGAACAACCCGGAAAACTGAAACTGCAAATGACAGCTCCATGCCATGTACTCACACATAATTGAGGGCATTCAATCCAGTTAGGTCGGGTAAAGGGCCGTCCAAATTGTTGTGCGCGATATTTCTGGAAGAGAATATAAAAACCGTGTAAAAGCTGATTAACCATCACTAAGATTACGGTAAAAGCACACCAAAGTATTTTCTTTGAGAGTTTGTACTCACAAGTTACTGAGATTTATTAGGTTGGAGATATTTGAGGAGACTGATCCCGTCAGAGCATTTCTATCAAGCCGACTGTTGCAGAAAAGAACGGTTTTAGTCTAATAAGTGTCAAGAAGCAGATACGCTTAAATGTGGAGGAAAACGAAAATTCAAGATGGCTTTTTACTCACAGAACCTCGAGAGTCTGAACGGAAAATATTGTTGATGGAATAGTCCCAGTGAATCTATTTCCATCAAACAATCTGAAATAAAGAATGACAAGCAGTTTAAGTATAGAACATAAACTGATAGATAGGATCCGGACAAATTAGAAACTGATCGTTTGGATCAACTTACACATGGATCAGTGTCATCTTGGAGCTGAAAAGTCTGGGTGGAATGGTACCTGAAAGCTGGTTCTGGTTCAAATGGCTGCAAATTCATATAATCTGTTTTAAGTTTACGCAATAAGCAGTGGCATAATCCTTACTAGAATTTCATTTTCTTTTCAGAATGGAGAGAGTTTCAAAACGGAAAATACTCACAAATGTTTAGCCTGAAACAGTTGGTCTAAGCCGGGGGTAGTGCCGCTCGAAACTGGGAGAGGTCCAGTCAACTGATTGTCTGCCAGGTCCAGCCAATAGAGGTTGGAGAGATTACCCAAAGAAGCAGGTATACTACCGGTGAAGTTATTCGTATTCAAAGCCCTGAGAAAAACCAAAGTTATATAAACTTGGGAAAAGAAAAACATCATATTGGTTTGCACTGACAGTATGAATAATTAGTCCAATTCTTACAAGAAGGTTAGCTTTCCAAGTTTCCCCAATTCACTTGGAATAATTCCACTGAAGCTGCAACCAGCTAGGATCCTAAAAGATTGAAACAGTCTCGTATAATTGTCCGATATAAAAACTCATGTTCCATAAAGTTCAAAAGGTGCAGATGTGAAAATAGCTTGGTAAATTGTTCTTACAGGATGTTTAGATTGCTCAGATCCCCTAATCGTGGAGAGAGAGAACCGGTGAGGCCTTTGTTGAATGAAAGATCCCTGCAATGTTATCATTTCAGCTTCGTTACAAAAAGAATTCCATCCCTAATCAAGATTGAGCTAAACAAAATAACTGACACTGCGAAAATAAACATGTTTTATGCATATTTTTATAATCAGTTCATAATATACTGCAAACATAATGCTGGTATGAAAGGAGGAACAATCACACTCACAAGGATCTTAACTCAGAGAGCCCCGCAATGTCACTTTCAATTTCCCCTTTCACGTTCATTCCTGATAATCCCCTGCACAGTGAACATCAGAAGAGGTTCTGGTTCAAAATCTGATTAAGAAAGTAAGCGAGAATGCTCGTAATTACAACGATCACATCAGAATGCGAAGATGAACAACACTCACAATGCAGTCACCCTCGAACCATTGCAAGTGATGCCTTCCCAGCGCTCCTCACATGGATCGTTTGACTTGTCCCAGCTGGGTGGAACGTTGCTCCATGTCTGCCTCAAGGATTGGAGTGCACTAGCTGGATCAACACACTTATAAATCAATCAACTACCCTTAATAGGAACAATGAGGGTTTAGAACAAAATTTAACCAAAACTTCAAAATAATTCACATTAGACCGAAACTAAATGGACTAATTGCTTGGTACACATGAAAGAATCTACACCAAGGATGCATAATACTGGTATCCCAAACCAATCACACTGTGTCATCCATTTTTAATTTCCCATATAATAATAGATGATTGATTTGGAATATCGTCACGGAGAATAGGAAGATGAACATGATATCACAAAAAACCTCTCAAATGAACGGATATGAAGGTAGCTTTGAAATTGTAGACCAAAAGTAGAAACTACACAAAACCCAATTTTCCCATGAATTAAGAGATCAATATACATATATATATATATATTGATCTTTAAGACTATACATACCATCATCTATGTGTGTAGATGAAGAGATCACATGAATTCCAGAGAAGCAGAAAGCCAGAAAGAGCAGCAGCAGCCGCATGGTTGCCTTGGGAAATTTGTGGGTGAACCTGTGAGGCCGATCAGCTAGTAAGCAGAAGCCAAAAAGCACATTTGTACAAAATTCTACTTCGTTGAAATGTCAATAAAAATACTTTTCAAACATATCTTCTTCCACTACATACCAACTACTACACCATTTGGATGGTTGGAATTTTATTTAATGAACAAAATTAAGAGTCCCAGGCATGCATGTACATGCATCCCTCCAAGCAACCAAAAAAGTGCTTTTTTGGAAGCTCGCTTATTTCTAAGCAATGAAGCTGGATTTCCTGAGTTGGGTTCTTTCAACTGTCTCCAAAAAAACACCATGCAGGCTACAAACCTCCCACTTTATTTAATTAATTTAATCACTTAATTTAATTAATTTAATCTAATTATATGCTAATTGACTATGATTACGACAGAGAGTGATGAGATGATGGTTGTTTTTTTGCTCTGGAAGACTAACCGGAAAGATACGATGATTTTGGTTGGTGGGTCCTAAAACTCTGACATGCAAGACAAGGCGACGGGCTCCGCCTCCTTCGGCTGGGACCGATTCCTGGTTTCATCCTTGTTCTTGTTGAATAAAATAATGAACACGGTTTGGTCGTTTCCTAAGGAAATATCTAATATGTTCAGAACAAATCAAAATTAAATAACGATATATTGATCACATAATAAGGACATAACAATCAAATATCGATAGTCAACAATTGTAATTTAAGAAAAAATCATTTTGACCAATTAAATTAATAGACAATACATGTGGTTATTCTTCCTCCTTCAGCGCTATGACATGATATAATTTTGTCGTATTATTATCGGAATTGTTCATTCTTTTTATCATCATCTAACAACCATCTCTACAAAAATTCATTCGTTTGGACATCATTTAGTCATCCATATATGTCAAACCAATCGGCAGTCATGATAACAAGTAACATCCTTATTATGAACCAATGACTAAAGGATTTCTAAATCAAATAATTTTTTTAAAGATGTTCATTTGGAAGAAAAATAACACTTTATATGTAAGGAGTCAAACAATATATATTTTTTTATATACATAGTAATTGTTTATAGAGTCATTCTTTCTTAAGTGCATAACCCGTCTTAAATAAGAAGAACTTACATGCAATCAGTTTGGTAAATTGATTGTATTCATGTCTAGGTCGACACTAAAATATACGAGGACGCATTATAGGCTTAAAAGATATTGAACAAGTTATAACACATGACCACACATTATTAACAAAGATGCCGCCAATAGTGTCCTTGCAAGCAAGTTTCTCTTCAACAATTGTAATTTAAGAAAAAATCATTTTGACCAATTAAAATTAATAGACAATACATGTGGTTATTCTTCCTCCTTCAGCGCCATGACATGATATAATTTTGTCGTATCATTATCGGAATCGTTCATTCTTTTTAGGATTTTTATCATAAATGATCTCTGAAATTGACCCACTCCATCAAGATGGTCATTGAAATTGAAAATCTATAAATGTAGTCCCTGAAAATGGATGACGCAAATCAATGTGGTCCTTCCATTAGAATTCCGTCAATATTTTTGTTATGTGCTGATGTGGCACATAAATAGATCCCACAAATCTAATTAAACATTACCATGTGGATTAAAAATGTTTAAATAATATTTTTTTAAAGTTTTATATAATTAAAAATGAAAAAAAATCGAAAAAAAAAACAAGAAGATGACAGTTCATCTTCTTCTTAGCCTCCCACTGGAGCAACCACCCAAGTCCCCACCCCACCCCGTCGCACATGTAATCGCAGCCAAACAGATGGCCCAACGCCTCAAAGAAACCTCCATCTTCCAACTCCCCAACCTCCCCACCTCCATTTCATGCGTCCAAAACTACCAGTCCAAGCTCTCCTCCCTCTCCCTCCTTCCCAATATTGTCAACTGCTGCTTTGACCCTTTCCAGTTTATCATCACTGCGGTTTCATGTGCGACTAGGTGGGGTGGGCTGTTGAGGTTGCTCGGATGGGAGGGGAAGAAGAAGATGAACAATTCATTTTTTTTTCCTTTTATATTTTTTAAGACTTGAAATTTAAAAAAAAAAAAATTTAAAAACAAAATAAGATGCTTCCTCAGTGCGCCCAGCAATCCCACACTGAGTGACAACAAGACGTCGGTCTTGACCCGTAACACCTCATCCGGCAACGCATAGTCAAGCACTGAAACCAGGCAGGAGTAAAAGCCCCTGGTGATTTCGGAATTGTTGTCGGCCGCGAATCTCAGCTTGCTCTCCTCGTCCATCTCGGCCTGTAGCCACACCCGGGCCGTGCAACCCATGACCCACATTGAATCAACCAGACCCAAATCATCAAACGGCGAGAGGAGAGTTGCATAGTGCAACATGCGTTTAACCCTGTTGATTGGCTCGGGGAGTTAACGCCGCCGTACGAGCCTTTCTTGCACTTGTCGTCATCATCGCAAATGTAATCGGAGCCAAACACAACCCCACCAGGAAGTGCTGAACTTGGAAGTGAGTGACTTGTTGGGCTTGAAAGAAGCGAAAGGGGAGGAGGAGAAGACTCTGAGCACCATGGCTGTTGCAGAGCAAGCATTTTTTTTATTTTTTATTTTTAGTTTTTTATTAAAAAAATAAAATAAATTTTTTTTTATTACTTAAATACTTTTTATTCACAAAATAATATTTTATTAAATTTGTGGGATCCATTTAAGTGCCACATCATCACTTAACAGAGTTTTTAACGGAATGGTGATGGAAGGACCATATTGATTTGCGATATCTATTTTCAGGGACTACATTGATCGATTTTTAATTTCAGGGACCATTTTGATGAGATGGGTCAATTTCAGGGATCATTTGTGATAAAAACTCTTCTTTTTATCACCATCTAACAACCATCTCTACAAAAATTCATTTGTTGGACACCATTTAGTCATCCATATATGCCAGACCAATCGACAATCATGATAATAAGTAACATCCTTATTATGAACCATCTATTTGTGTGATTCATATGAATGACTAAAGGATTTCTAAATCAAATATTTTTTTTTAAAGATGTTCATTTGGAAGAAAAATAACTCTTTATATGTAAGGAGTCAAATAATATTTTTTTTATATACATAGTAATTGTTTATAGAGTCATTCTTTCTTAAGTGCATCGCCCGTCTTAAATGAGAAGAACTTACATGCAATCAGTTTGGTAAACTGATTGTATTCGTGTCTAGGTCGACACTAAAATATATGAGGACACATTATAGGCTTAAAAGATATTGAACAAGTTATAACACATGACCACATGTTATTAACAAAGATGCCGCCAATAGCGTCCTTGCAAGCAAGTTTCTCTTCAACAATTGTAATTTAAGAAAAAATCATTTTGATCAATTAAATGTAGTCATTCTTCCTCCTTCAACGCCATGACATGATATAATTTTGTCTTATCATTATCGGAATTGTTCATTCTTTTTATCACCATCTAACAACCATCTCTACAAAATTTCATTCGTTTGGACACCATTTACTTATCCATATATGACAGACCAATCAGCAGTCATGATAACCAGTAACATCCTTATTATGAACCATCAATTTGTGTGATTCATATGAATGACTAAAGGATTTCTAAATCAAATAATCTTTTTAAAGATGTTCGTTTGGAAGAAAAATAATTTTTTTATATGTAAGGAGTCAAACAATATTTTTTTATTTACATAGTAATTGTTTATAGAGTCATTCTTTCTTAAGTGCATTGCCCGTCTTAAATGAGAAGAACTTACATGCAATCAGTTTGGTAAACTGATTGTATTCGTGTCTAGGTTGACACTAAAATATACGAGGACGCATTATAGGCTTAAAAGATATTGAACAAGTTATAATACATGACCACACGTTATTAACAAAGATGCCGCCGATAGCGTCCTTGTAAGCAAGTTTCGTAAGAAATGGATATGAGGAGTAAGGAGTAAAGACGACCTATGGTATGTCTGTAACTAGTGTCATTGTCTCCACTAGGTGGTGGTGACGGTTGAGGCGATTTTTATGAAGGTAGGGTCTTCTTCTCATTTTGTTTTCTTAGCATTAAAGATCTTATTGAAACAGACGATTTCTAGATTGCGACTGTGTCTACAACAACAATAAAGATTTATTTTATTAAGTGGAGTTGGCTTTATGAATTCTAGAACGTCATTGCGTTCGGTTTTGCGCCAAGTCCTCTGTTAGTTTCAAATACTCCATGTATTTTCTTAAAGTTTCTTTTCAAGTCTTCTCTACTCCTTTTGCCCTAAGCCTATATTTCATAATCGCATTTTCTAATTAGAGTATCTGTATGTCTTCGTTTCACATGGTCAAACCACCTCAACCGAGACTCTAAAAAATAAAATATCCAAATTCACTACAACAAAGAAAATTCTTTCTTTTGGTGAGTCAAAATCCAAATACATAAACCAAGTACAAATTGCCGTCTAACACGGCACCAATAAGAACAACTCCAACTATAAGGGTTTTCGTTCACAAAGAAAATTCAACATTGTTTGGATAAACAGCACTGTGAAAGCAACCGGCGATATCTTCAGTTTGGATAAACAGCACTGAAGCCTTAGAACCAGCTGACCAATAAGCAACTTCAATTTAGATAAACATCACTATTTTGAGGCCGATTAGTTATTTATCCAAGTCTTGGCCAATAGGGATTTATGAGTCTTTGTTGGTAGAGGTCATCTCATCAACCTTCTCGGCGAAGTGAGGTGTTACAAGGATACTTGGCTAGGCACATTGAAACCAAGTTTTGTTTATGATTGGATACTCCCAAGTAAGTTTTAGAGTTCGGCATTTCGACGGCCAAACCATACTTACGATCAAGACATACATTTCTTTCGAGTATTTGTGTCCATATAGTTTGGTACCAGTTCAGCGTGCTTATACTCTCACGAATATAATCACTGTGATCGAACCCAGCGTTGACGATTTGTGAACTTCCCAGAACTAGTAACCTTGTCTTCAAGCTTTAAAACTCAAAGGCCGACACGTGTTCCTTCCTCGACCTCAGTCGCAAGATCGAGAAGTCAACATCATGCTCAACGCAACATCAACATATTTTACTTCCCGGCCAAATTCGGCCGACGAGTTGGCACGCCCTGCACACAACTGAATGACGTAGTTAGATTATTAATTACTCAACATGCGCGCCACGTAGGCATGGTAGTTTTTAGGGTCAATATTTTGGCATGCCGGTGAGATCTAGTGCTAAAACTACGAAGTTCATGACCATTAAAACACGATCAGTAAAAAAGAAAACAATCATGGTAAAGTCGACGACTAATCTTCCAGTCTAAAACCCAGGACAAAATGGCTTGTTACAGGCACAAAATCATCCTGCTGTTGCGACACCTGAAGCCACGAGTGTGACACGTCGAGAAAAGGAAATTAATCTCGGCAGTCAGACTCGTGATACAGAATTCCCCACCAAAGTGACAAAAGACATTTTTGCTGAATGACTAGTGGATGATTGTGACGAGGACGGTGGTAAGGCCTCTGATCTACCAACCAAATCGTTTATTCGACGACGACTTGAAGAACAATCCTGGCTGTTTGAGCAAATATTTAGCCGAGAGGTAAAAAGTATACTTGAATAGATGCGTGATAATATCGCTATGCACAACAGAATGCTCGAAGCTCTAGTTAACGAAGTCCACAAAAGTGGACTTGCTGATCGATCCAGACAACATTTTCTAAAGAATAATCCCCTACCAGCGATATAAGCTGAGACAGGATCTGCTCGGCTTAAAATGATTGACTTAGAGAAAAATGGTGGATCGAGCTGCAGATCAGACAAATTTGACCAAAAAGCAGAAACGACATATGTTGACATAGTCGAAGTCTAAATGATGATTGATTCGACTTTAAAAAATGGGGCTAAAGTTTCCAAAGTTCATTCACCCATATCCAGCCTTTGTAGAAAGGTTCGAGTATCCCAAGAGATTCAAAATTCCAGTCTTTAGCCTTTTCGTTGGGGAATCATCCTTATCCTCATTGGAACACGTGGCTCTGTTCACCGCTCAATATGGAGATGTTAACAGTGACTTTCATAAATTACGACTTTTCAATTTTTCGTTGACCAGCTCAACATTCGCAGGGTACATCAATCTCCCGCCCAACTCCATCCAAAGCTGGCAGGAATTAGTCGAGAAATTTCATAAGCAATTATATCGGCCAGGGATGGAAATGTCAGTCTCTTCTTTGGCTAGGATGGATTAATCATCCGACGAGTCACCAATGGAATACCTTACGAGGTTTACGTCAACCAAAAACTGGTGCCGAGTACCTCTCCCTGAAGTTGAGTTCTTTAGGATCGCCTTAAATGGCCTAGACATAGAGTACAAAAAAGAAATTCTTTTGGGAAAACTTCCCAAGACATGTACGAATTGGCTCAACATTATCGAGCAATATGATTATTTGCTCTGAGAAGAGAAGATCTCGAAGTCCCCATCCTGAGGAACGGTCTACAAGAACCCTACGGTCAGTTATGCATCGGTCGAATGCGAATAGTCCCAATATGCCAATATAGAAGCGGGCGAGATAGTAATCGACAAACCATATATATGCAAAGCATTGACTCATGCTAACTTCAAGGATGCCAAAACCCGATCGACCTCTGAGGAAGCTGCCATCAATACGTCAAAAGTCTATACTTTTGACATCACCAAGACCGATGCCATATTCGACCAGTTATTGCTAACGAAAATTGTCAAGCTTTAGCCACATCATAATATTCCCAAGGCCAAAGATTTAAAAGGTAAGACATGTTGTAAATACCACAACTTGAATAAGCATACTACAAATAATTGTGTCGTATTTCACGATGCCATTCAGAGTTGGATCGAAAATGGTAAGCTCAAGTTTCCTGAGAAACAAATGGTCATTGACGCCGATCTTTTCCTTACGACAACAGTGAGCATGATAGATGCTTACCTACCCAAAGACAAGAGAAAGGGAAAAGCCGAGTTCATCCCGATGCATACGTACTTAGGCAGAATGCTCGACTACGATTGAAGGTCGATCTATCCTCGGACGAGCCACCCAGATACTTTTCAAACCCAATTTATGATGAGTCAATGTTAGACTCCAGCACAAAGAAAACTGACGAGCCAATGGTTTTATGCAGCTGGTGCAAATAAAGTGTTATCATAACTAAGTCGAATTAACAGCCATTTCAAGTTGAAGTACCGCAATCGGCGCTTGCAGCTACGGCGACGTCTGGAAATGTGCTCGGTCCAAGCCAACACTAGAAAGTTTTCAATAGGCTCGATCCTAAATAACAGGATGGTAAGCCATCTTCGGCCAGATGGTGACTTGATTTTGACGCGCCATTTTACAATGAAGATTA